TCCTCCATCTCAATGGCTCCAGCTGCTCCTGGAGCAGGGGTGATCTCCTGGACTCGGCTGTGTTGGAGGTTGAGCACTGGGGACATGGGACATGGTCCTGGTGGAGCTGGCGCTGGAGAACCAGAGCTCCCATCATGGAGATGGAGGGGACATTCCTGCTAGAGGGGTGGCCTTGGGATGTGCTGGGGGGGGGGGATTTCAGGTGTGAGGACCCACTGGGGCTGCGGGATGGGGGATCAGCACCAGGAGTGGGGATATCATGGATGGGCTCCTAGAGAGCTCGCAGAGGGACCCCAGGGTGGGGAGAGGCACCAAAGGGAGCTTCATTGCTTGTTTTCCATAGGGAATCCCATCCGTCCCAGTGGGATAACTCAACCCTATCCCCTTCCTCCCCTTTTTCCCTTTAAAACCCATTGGGAATGTCACAGAATTCCCATTTCCCTCCCTTATTATTGCACACGAGGAGCCCCAGCTTTCCCTATGGAGGTAGCGTGGCCGAGCGGTCTAAGGCGCTGGATTAAGGCTCCAGTCTCTTCGGGGGCGTGGGTTCGAATCCCACCGCTGCCAGGTCCCTTTTGGGCACCACTGCTGCCACATCTGGGGAGGGGGCAAACCCCATCTGGAGGGGTTGCTCCCAACCCTAACCCCTCACATGTCTCCCAGCCCATCAGACCCCCACAGACCTCTGCTCTGAGAGTGGAGTTAAAGAAATCCATTGGAATTGAAGCTGGGAATTGATCCCTGCACGTTGGGATGGGGCAGCCTCATCGCTTCCGGAAAACAGGGAAAGCCGAAGCATTCATCTATGAACAGGAGCCCTCTGGGGGCAGCCAAAACTCCTTTTCCCCCTTACCCCCCCCCCCCCCAGTAAATCCATATCCATGCTGCTGGTTGGCCATCGCTCCCATCCCCATTGCTGCCCCTCCACATCCGTGTTGTCCGTGGGTCTCTCTATGGGTCCATCCTTGGGTCAAGCGCAGTAAACCCCAACCCATACAAAGCCCCATCTCCCCTTCACTCCATGGCTGGCGCCAGCATCATCCCATAGGAATTTAGGGAATGGTGTGGATACAACCAGTGCTGTTCAGTAAAGGATGCTCCGGAAGCTGGGATGCCGTATGGCCACGGGATGGGGCAGGATGAAAACAATTGCCAAGAGGATTTTGGGAGCAAAACCATTCTCTTTAGGGAAAAACAAGGAGAAGAACGGGAGCACTCACGGGCAGAGGCGGAAGCTGGATCCCTTTCCCAGCCAGAAGAAGGGGAAGACGCTCTCCCCCCCAAAGGAAGCCGTTGGGAAGGTGAACACGGGGGGCTCCCCTTCTGCCAGGTAAAACCTCACCTTGCCCCCCTCATAATCCAACGCCACCCGCACCCTCCCGGCCCACCCGGTGCTGGGAATGGGGGTGACGGGGTCGGTGAAGGCGCAGAACTGGCTCCCGCGGCGCCCCATGGCCCAAACCCCTTGATCCGGCCGGAATGGGATCCAGCCCTGCCGGGGCACGGAGCCCCAGGACACCCCCAGCGCCCAGGAGCCGGCCCCGGACACCCCCACGGCCCAGTGGTGAGCTCCGGCCTTGAAGCTGGGGCTGCCCAGGACGCAGCAGGAACCATGGAAGCGCAGGGGGGAGCCCGGCACCTCCTGAGCCGTGCGCGACCACTGGGCCCCTCGGCGGTCCCGGGACACCACGAGGCGGGGGCTGGCGGTGGAGGGGTCCAGGGTCACGAATGGAGCTGGGATGGAGGGAGGGAGGGAGGGGGGGGTCAGCACCCAGGAATGGTCCCTGATGGACCCAGCATCGGGCACGGCCGTTGGGAGCAGGGACATCCATGGGACCATGGAATGGTTTGGGTTGGAAAGGACTCAGCATCATCCATAGGGCAGGGACAGCTCCTGTTAGATCAGGATGCTCCAAGCCCAGCCCAGATGATGACTTGTCCAAACCTTTTCCATTCAACACATCCCGGTGTCCCACCACGCTCGTAGGGAATAACTTCTTTACATCCAACCCTAACTTTCCCTGTTCCAGTTTAAAGCCATCACCCCATAGTTCCTGATGTCCAACATCCATTCCTGCTTGCCTCTTGCTGGAGGACCCCTCTGTATCCCCAGGAACACCAAAGCTCCTCATTCCCAACCTTTTTAAGCCCAATTTTGCCTAAAAATGCCTTTTCTGGAGCCACTTTTCCAGAGGTCCTCACCTCTTCCATCTCCTCCTGGGGATGGTCCTTGCTCCTTCTCCAGTTCTGATAGCAAAGTGCCTATGGGATGAAGAACAAAGGTTGAATGGATCAAAGGATGGATCAAAGGCAATGCTCACTCACGCTTTTCCTGGGAAAACAGGAAAACCAGGATGAACAGGGTAGATGGATCCATCACCCCCCTGTACCTTGGAATGCCCCCAGCACATCCCTAAGGACACAGTTCTGTCGAGAGATGACCTGGAGCTTCTGCTCCAGGTCCTGGAAGGTCTCCGTTATCCTCCGGGAACTGCCCATCTCCAACCTGGATGCAACCTTAGATGTGGGGCTGGGACCAAGCCTCCTGCCCCCCACATCCTGTGGGGATGGGGAGGAGCTGGTTGTCCCCAGTGTCCCTGTGTCCCAAGCTGCAGATGCCCACGGGACACTTGGGTCCCATTGCCCCAGTGGCCAAGAGGAGCCACCTCCTTGCCTCCAAACCTTGCTTCAAGCCCTGCCTTGAAGCTGGAATTCCCATGGGAATGGTGCCCACCAATAGCCTTCCTATGGGACACGGGTGGTGGAGGAGCACGTACCTGTCCACAGCGCTTCGGGCATCCTAGAACAGAGACAGGGAGTGCCAAGCCTCATTCTCCCACCTCAATCCCTTGGGAAAGCTTCGTCCCAGGGAATGCCGAGGGGGAGCATCCCACCCGCAGGAATGCGCTCCCAGCTCCCTGAAGCTGCTTCTCCATCGCACAGATGAGGACATCCAGGAGCGAGATCTCCCCCTGGATCTTGGTCTCCTCCTGCTCCTGCCTCCCCATGGCCTCCGTGTCCAGCTCTCCCAGTTGGAGCAGCAGGATCCGCTCCTGATCCCGCAGGAAGCGGCGCAGGCACTGGAATTCCAACACAACCGCCTGCCTCTGCAGCTCCGTCCGTGCCTGCGGGACATGGGATGAGCATGGATCCACCGGGATAACCCCGCAGCTCCTAGGGATGAGGGCATCCGTGTACCAGGTAATCCTGGCATCGCCTCTCGCCGTGCGCCTTCCGTTCCCAAAGTGCTTCCCGGTGGGTCCTGAGCATCTCCAGGTCCTTCCGGGTTTGCTCCTAGAAGGAAAGTGGGTTGGGATGGTACCCAGCAGGATTGGGAAGGGTGGGATGGTACCCAGCAGGATTGGGAAGGGTGGGATGGTACCCAGCAGGATTGGGAAGGGTGGGATGGTACCCAGCAGGACTGGGAAGGGTGGGATGGTACCCAGCAGGATTGGGAAGGGTGGGATGCTTGGAAGAAAACGGACACGAGAAGACACAAGAGGAACCAGTTCCATTCTCCTATGGGATAAACTGGAAAAAAAGACTCAGGAATGGGTTGGGAAGCGCCCTTCAAAATCCATCCAACCCCTATGAGGGACTCAAATGCCTGCTGGGGTTTAAGCTTGGATTAACCATTTTCCTGGGTTTAGCCCCAAGCTTGGGGTTATTCTTGTCTGAATCCCCCCAGTTATTCCCATGGGGATAAAGCCCAACTATAGGGAACATCCAAGCCCGGGATCCCAAGGAGCACCCGAAACCCCTTCAGATGGTCGGGAAAGGAACAACCTCGCTCCTGGAGCTGCCTTTGTCCTGGCTGGGTTCCTCTGTGCTGGGACCTCCACAAGCCCCTGGTCCCTCATGTCCGGAGCTCGATGCCTCCACATCCCATGGGATCCTGTGCCATGAGCAGAGCTGCTCCTTCTCCCGGCCTCCATCCAGACCCAGGAGCTTCAGCTTCTCCACCAGGTGCTCCAGGTGCTGCTTGGGCTGGAAGCTGCCTTTCCTGACATGGTTCCCATGGGCATCCCCAACGGAGCAGCACAGCCGGGATCGGGATGTTCCACCTTCATCCCGGCTCAGGGGACCAGGAGCCTCATCCCTTGCCCCAGATGGACCAGAGGCCATGGATCCACCACCTCTTGCTCCCTTTGCTGCCTGCAAGACATGGAGAGGTCTCAGCATGGAGCATCGGCAATCTCCGATCTCCTTTGGATGATAGTTTGGGAAGGGAGGAGTTGTCCTTCAGTAATCCCTGGATTTGGGCATCCATCTCCATCCACAGGAACCAACATGATGGTGGGAACCATCCCTTCATCCCCAAACTCAGTCTCCAACACGTCCCCCCATGGTGGCTTCCAATGGAGCAAAGCCAAGGCAGAGCCCTCCCAAAGCCCCCAATCCATGGATTTAGGGTCTTCCTGACCCTGGCACCATCCCGAAGGAGCCGCTTACCCCGTTGGCAGCAGATGCTGGGTTGATTCTGATGGATCTTGGGGTTCTTCAGCCCATGGGGCTCCTCTCCAGCTGCACCAGGGCCGCCCGGAGCCGGTCACATGCGGGATACAGGGATAAGATCATCCCTATTTAAGGAAACAGGCGAGGAATGTGCTGCTGGGACACGGCTCACTCCTACCCCTCAGGGGCCCCACTTGGACTTGTCCATCCCTTCTCCTCCCACTTGGGTCTTCTCCAGCCAACCCGCTCCATGGGGCCACCACAACGGGCAACGATGGAGCTTTGGGGCACGTGGGGTGAGACCCCGCCTGGACCGATCCCATATGGAACGCTCCAAGGACAGTCCTAACCCTGGAACCAGCCGCATAAAGCAATCCAATGCTCTGGAGAGGCTCCAGTGGTTTATTGTCCATTGGGAAGCACCCGGTGGGAGTCCGATGGTGGGGTGGGAGCCATGGTTCAAGGCTCTTGGAGCACGCAGGGGTGGAAAAGGGATATCGGGGTATCAAAGGGGTATCAGGGGGCAGTGAGATGGGGATGGTGACCACAGTGTCCATCCGTGATGTCCCACAGCTCCCAAGGCTCTTCCATGGCTCCTCCAGCCCCTTGGCACCAGGACGGTCACCGGCGCAGGGAGATGGAGCCCAGCTCCAGCCAGAACCAGGGCCGGAGCTGCTCCCCCCGGAAGGACACCGGAGGGAAGGTGAAGATGGGGACTTGGTTCTCCACATCGAAGAACCTCACCTCTCCCCACTCATAATCCAGGGACACCCGGATCCTCCGGGGCACCCGTGCCAGGCTCAGGGTGATGGGGGGGGATGTGAGGGCTCTGCTCTGGAAGCCCCATTGCTGCAGGGCCCAGATCCCCTCCTCGGGGCTGAAGCTGCTGGGCCCCTTCCTCTTCAAGGAGCCCCTGCTGACGCCGATGGCGCAGTACTGGCCCTGGGCCACGTCCACCTCCCAGCAGTGCCGCCCGGAGGAGAAGGCCTGGGAGCCCAGCACGCAGGGATCGGTGTCGAAGCGCTCGGGACCGTCGGGAGGCTCCTCCAGGTGGAATTCCCAGCGCACGCTCCGCAGCTCCGGGGACACGATGAGGCGGGGATGGGCCGTGGCCGGGTCCAGCATCACCTCCACTGCACGAGGGCAAGGGAAGGGGGAGGTTAACCCTGGAGTGGATCCTTGCCTGGGAGCGGGGTCCTCTGGGACATCTCATGGGGGCTTTGGTGTCGTCTTGGGCATCTACAGGGGGTTTTGGTGCCTTCCTTGACATCTGATGGGTGTTTTGGTGTCATCTTGGGCATCTACAGCGGGTTTTGGTGTTGTCTTGGGCATCTACAGGGGGTTTTGGTGCCTTCCTTGACATCTAATGGGTGTTTTGGTGTCATCTTGGACATCTACAGGGGGTTTTGGTGTTGTCTTGGGCATCTACGTGGGGTTTTGGTGTCGTCTTGGGCATCTACGTGGGGTTTTGGTGTCACCTTGGGCATCTACAGGGGGTTTTGGTGCCTTCCTTGACATCTGATGGGTGTTTTGGTGCCTTCCTTGACATCTAATGGGTGTTTTGGTGTGGTCTTGGCCATCTACAGGGGGATGTGGTGTCCTCTTGGCCATCCAGAGGGTGTTTTGTCCCTCAGCGCTCCTTGTGGTCCTTTCCAGAGCCCCATCACTCACCCATCGCATCCTTCTCTTCTCTGCCAGCACTCACCCATTGTCTCCTCTTCCTTCCCTAAGGACACACACAAAGCACTCACGGTGCTGCTGGGGGGATCCTGGAGCCAAGGGGGGGATGCTGGAGCCAGGGGGGTCACTCACTGTGCTCCTGGAGGCATTTTCCTTTGGAGGAGAAGCCAAAGCCTTGTTACCACTGGGACATTCCTGGCCCTGTTTCCCCATCTCCCAGGTGATCCCGTGATGTCCATGCATGCGGAAGACCCACAAAGCCACATTCCCACCATTGCAATCCCCCAGATCCTCGCTGGCTGCTCCCAGGGTGACTCACGTGCTCTGGCTTTGTATTCCTCTGGGAAGAGAAGCAAAGGGAATGGTCAGTGCGTGTTCCCACATTCCCAAAGTAATCCCAGATTCCTGTGCCCAGGGGTTAGCATGCCTTGGATAACGAGATAAGATATGGAGAAGGGAAGGCTCCAGGAAGACCTTGGAGCAGCTTCCAGTGCCCAAAGGCATGACCTGGGAAGGGGTTTCTACAACGGCACCTAGGGGTGGGATGAGGATAACTGCTCCCAAAAGGAAGAGGGAAGAGTTGGATGGGATAATGGGAGGCAATTCCTCACTCTGAGGGTGGTGGGACACTGGAATGGGTTGAATGGAGAAGGTTGGGATACTCCATCCCTTCAGGGTTGGAGCAACCTGTTCCAGTGGAAGGTGTCCATGCCCACGGTATTGGGGTGGAATGGGATGAGCTTTAGTCGCTTCCCACCCATTCCATGGATCTCTCTCCCATCCGAGGCACTCACCGAGCTCCGCTGTGAGTTCCTCTGGAGGGACAAGAGGAAAGGAAGGATTCCTGTGAGAATTCCCAGTGCCAGGATCACACACAGGAAGGGCTCAGGCCAGACGCTGCCACTCACCAATCCTCCTCTCGCGGGTCTCTATGGAAAGAGAAGTCAAAATCAATCCAAGTTATTCCCAGCTGGATTTGTCCTAAATCCAAATCCCAAAGCGTGTGTTTGGAAGCAGGAAAACACTCACCAATCCCTGCGGACAGGTCACCTGAGAGAGAACAGATCCCAGCTGATCCATCACCATCATCATGGCAATGGAAGCACAAGTGTAGGAGCAGGGAGGAGGTGGACACTTACCAATCCGGGCATCCCGTTGCCCTAAGGGAGGGAAAACAGATGGAAAAGGGAGGGGAAATGAGTTATTTCCCAGTTTTGGGGGTTCATCCTGAGATAAGCTGGTGTTTTGCTGTTCCATGGAGAGAACTGACATTCCCATTTAGCCCTGGCTATCATTCCCATATGTGCTTCCCTCATCTCCAAGCAAAGAACCAGCTGGCTCCCACTAACCCCAGCCTAAATCCCAAAGGATCCACCCTGGTTGGGGTAGGGAAGGGACTCACCCAGCTCCGCCGTGAGTTCCTCTGGGAACAGCAAAAGGAAAAGTAGATTTAATTATGGTTCTTTCCCCCTTATAGATCCATCAACCAGAAGTTTATGGATTTTGGGTTGTATTCCAATGGATTGGGCATCACTGACCCCCATGTATCCAAACCATCATTCCAAAGGGATTTGGGATGCTCGGGGAGAAGCAACCATTGAGCAGCCAAGGACATGGAGCCTAAGGCTCCTTGACCCCATGTTAGAAGGGAAGAGCTCCATTTCCCTATGGAAGAGCAGCACTCACCGATGCGCGCACTCTGCTCCGCTGGGAATGGGAAAAACAAGGAAAAGAGACAAAGCTTCAGGTTCCTTGCAGCACCCACGCTGCAGGTGGGAGAAGGGCAGGGAAAGGGGAAGGGAAAGGAGGGGAGACCAGGAAGGGCTTACCAAGCTCTCCCGTGATTTCCCCTTTCAGGAAGGGAATAAAGGGCACAGTTAGGATTTTGGGGCTCAAGCCTCATCTGAAGCTTCAGGAACAATCCCAGTATTTCAACAACCACGTGGGAATTTGGTATTTGGGTGGGGGGTGGGAAGCTCTTCTTGGGGTCGGGATAACGCAGCCGGAATCCGCCCGCTGCAGACCCATCCCAAGCACCCAAATCCACCCAAAAGGAGAGCAAAACCCACCTATTTGTTTATCCCGTTCCTCTAAAAACAAGGAAGAAAAAGCAGGATTAGGAGAATAAGGGAGAGAAAGCATGGATTTCCAGTGGGATTTTCTCCTTCCCTACTATTCCCTTCTCCTTCCCTACTATTCCCTTCCCCTTCCCTACTATTCCCTTCCCCTTCCCTACTATTCCCTTCCTTACTATTCCCTTCTCCTTCCCTACTATTCCCTTCTCCTTCCCTACTATTCCCTTCTCCTTCCCTACTATTCCCTTCTCCTTCCCTATGGGAAGACCCAAATTTCCTCCATACCCACAGTTCAATGGTGGGGAAAAGCAAACAGCTGCTATTAAGGATGAAGTTCTGATGTTCACATCACTGATTTCCCATGGGAACAGCCTTGGAGCTTCCGACCCAGCAGAATTCCAGCCGGGATACCAGGAAGTGACTTACCCAGCTCTGCAGTGAGTTCATCTGAGAGGAGAGAAGCAGGGATGTGCATCAGAGCAGGGAATCCAGGTGGGAAGTGCTCCTGCCAAGGCAGGAAGGGGAATGGTGCTCACCTCTTTCCAGGTCACTGTCCTCTGGGAATGGGAGGAGAAGGGGAAGAGAAGGAAAAGGGGAAAGGAAGGAAAAGGGAAGTGGAAGGAGAAGGAATGAGAATTCCTCGTAGCCTTTTCCCCTTCCAGCTCCATCCCTCGTTTGCTGTCGTTCCCATGCTCCCAGCCCTCGGCCCATCCCAGTTTTCCAGTTGGAAGGAAGCTGGAGCTTTACCCAGCTCCTCAGAAGATCCATCTGCAGTGGAATGAGATGGATCCATTGGTGTTATCCATGACAGAATCCATTCTGGAGCTTCCCACCCCCTGAGGGGCAGGAACAAAGCACTCACCAGCTTCCTGCTCCCTCAGCTCCTCTGCCAGAGGGAAAAGAGGGAAAGGAAAAGGTGAGACCTGGATTTGCCCTTTTCCAGCCCCATTTCCCATCCCCATCCCAGGGTCTATCCCTTGGCTACTTTTCCTTGGTGTTATTTTAGGCCCCTTTGGCCCTCTGCCTTTATCCCCAAAAGTAGATGCCAAAGGATGGGAAGAGCCAAACGGAGCCACCAAATCCCCATGGATGGATGTGGGGCCGTTTGGAACCAGCTCATCCAGCTCTGCTCCAGATCCCCTTAGAGAGGAGGGGATGAAGTTAAGGAAAAGGGGAAAGGAAAGGGGAAGGAAAGAATTCCAGAGATAAAATCTTGCCAATAAAGAAGGAGCAGGAACTCTCACAGGGATTCAGGGACAGGATCAGATTCCTGGGACATTCCCCTCCGATTCCTGCCATATTCCAGGGACTATTTCCCCAAATCCATCTGTTTGTTGGCATTAGGAGCCACATCAACCACACCCCACACCCCCCCCCCCCCCAGTGCAGGATGCACACAGCAGCTTACGTATTCCTGAATCCTGGCTCTCTGCAAGAGGGAAGAGATCCCAGTTAATGCCATTATCAGCCCTTTTCCCATGGGATTTATGGCCAGGAGAACACACATACCCAGCAGCTCTGTGAGGCGCCCTGGGAGCAGAGAGACATGGACTAGGTCAAACATGGACTTTCTGATGCCAACATTATGGATTAGACACTTTATAGCGATATATTTATAATGGGATATGATTATTATCCACGTAAAAATCCATTTAGGGCACATAAAATACCGATTTAGGACATAAATCACAAGGTAGACATGGAATATGGGGAATATCTATACATTATCCACATAAATCCAATCCCAGGCACACTGGGGCAATTTGACACTGGCCAGATTGGGATCCCCCAGGAAAACCTTCATTTATGTCCCCTTTTCCCCTCCCTTTTCCTGTTTTCCTCCAAACTGAAGTCATTCGGAACATTCAAGCCCCACATTTGGGGTTTATTCTCTTGTGTTTGGGTTTCCTACAGATTTCCCACAGGGAAACCCTTTTCCCACTGTGGGTGTGGGATTTAGACCAAGTTTAGTCACGAGATCCCCCTGGAACCCTGGAGCAGGGAAAGGCACTTACGGATCTCGGCTTCATTTTCCCCTGCAAGAAAAGGAATAATGGGAATGAATCCTAAGGAACCCACAGCGCATCCCATGGCACCTCTTGGGATCCTGGAACACTTCATTCCCACCCCTATTCCTCCACAGCTCGCATTGCTCCCGAGCTCATCCCTAGGAATAGCAGTGGGATGGAGCCGGGAGCAGGGAATACTCACGGATGGTCACGTCCCGTTCCTCTACAGGGAGCAAAGGAAGAGACAGAAAAGAGCAAATGAGCTCAGCCAAAGCTTTTCCTGGAGCTGGGATCTGGTCCCTAACGCTGCTTGGAAACGGGATTGGGGGGGATGGTGATCCTGTGGTGTCATAGAATCATAGATCCTGTTATGGGATCTATCACATGAGCCTACCATAGGGTCATTACCATATAACCAAATACCCTGTTACACATCCTACCATACAATCATATATCCTATCCTATATCCTACCATATCATCCTGCTACATATCCTACCATCTCAGGCCCACCTATACATCACACCTTCATCCCAGCCTTCACACACGTCCTCCTAAACCCCATTAGAACAGGAATTCCCCCTTAAGGACCCCAGCTGGGCAGGAAAACCTGGGAAACGCAAGGAAATCTCCGTGCTGGGCCAAGGGAATTCCTTACCAAGTTCCGCCGCCTGCTGCCCTGCAAACAGAGAGAAAACCCCACAGCAAAGCATGGGTCTGGGGATGCTCCTTTTCCTTAGGGACACAATTCCAAGGGTGGATGAAAAAGGGGCACTTACGGAGCTTCCTGCTGCATTCCTCTACAAAGCAGGGGGAATGGGGGTGAGTGCACCGGGATCTGCATCATTCCCACCTAACCAAGGGTTAATGGGGAAGTGACTTACTGATGTCTGCAGTGAGTTCCCCTGGGAAAAGAGAGGGAAAACACAATGGGATTTATGGAAAAGTCTCTGGAATTCCCTAAATCCAGGTTCTGGGAACAGGGAGGTGAAACCCACCTATTTTTGTGTGCTGCTCGCCTGGAATGGAGGGAAAACAACCAGGATTTACTTCCATGCCCACCACCCTTCATTATCTTATCCCATAGTCTGGAATACCAAGTGTTTCCTGCTCTGTGTTATTCCCATTACATACGCCTTATTCCCATTTCTAGGTTTTTGGGGGGGGTTAAAACTTCCCCATCTCAGCCCCTATGATGCTGTTTCCCACCAGCTGCCAGAGGCAGAGCCGAGTGTGGGGCTTGGATTGAGGATTCCTTTGGGAAAACCACCATTTTATAGGGTTTAATATTCCCAGACCTTGGATATTTGAACCATTTCAGTGAAAGATGAATCAAGTCATTAAAATGAATGGAAGTTTAATGAGAATCAAGCACTGGACTTACCCAGCTCCTCCGTGAAGATCCCTTCAAGCAGAAACAGCGTTAGATCCCATCCGAGTTCCCAAACTCCATCATCCCAGCTCACCTCTTCCCACGGGAATTTCCCCCCTTCTATTTCCCTTTCCCTTCCCCTTGACCTTTGGATTCTGACTTCCCAAATGAAGGAATTCCAGGATCCCTGCAATGATGGGAGGCATCAGCCCCGGAGCAGGGAATGCCACTTACTGATCGTCGCCTCACATTTGGCTAAGACAAAGATAAGGAACGAGATTCCCATCAGTTTTCCAGGTCCGTTTTCCCCTTTTCCCCTCTTTCTCAGGCGGGTTAGTTACTCACTGAGCTCTGCAGTGAGCTTCCCTGGAAAGGGGTGGAGAGGAGGGTACTGAGATCAGTGTTCCCATCTCCTCTCTGGGCACAATGGGACGCAGGAATAAGAGAGTGTGGGATAAGAGTGGAAAATAGGGAAGAGGGAAGGAAGGGAAAGAGGGAATCGGGAATACAGCAGTGAGGAAAAGCACCATTCCAGCAATGCGCATTTGGGGCTGATGGAAGGCTTGGGATGCAGAAATACCGGGAAACTGAGGAAAAGTGGTGCCCAGGAGAGGAGATCCTTGGGACCAGGCTGAGGAGAAGCCACCCAGGACCCAGGTTGAACCCAAAAGCACTTACGAAGCCTTGAATCCCGGTCTCCTGCATGGAAAAGGAGGGAAAAGGCTCAAGTCCAGCATTTTGGGGGTGGTTTGTCCCTCTTCCCAAAGGACAAAGGCCAGGAGGTGGGAGCAGCGTTCCTCCCATGTCATTCCATACAATCCATGCTGGGAATGGGAGGCTGAACCACACTTACCCAGCAGAGCAGTGAGGCGCCCTTTGGGACCAGAGGCAAAAAAGAGGCATCAGATGGAGCAAAGGGACCCAAAACGGACGTTTCCAAGCCCAAAAAGCCAGATTTGGGGATGGAAAAAGCACTCACGGACTTCAGCGGCGAGTTTGGCTGGGGAGGGAAAGGATATTCCTGGTTATCTGGGGGGGATTTAGGGAAAAGCCAGAGCTTAGGCTGAGATTTGCTGGGAAATGTTCCCATTTAGTACTTTTCCCACTCAGATTTGCCCCAAATCTGGGTTTTTCACCTCAAAACCACATGAATGACACTCACTGGTTTTCCGATCGCGTTCCTCTGGGAAGCAAAGGAGGGGGGGAAAAGGCAGGAAAATGGTTAATAAGTGATTTCCTTCCCCATTCCTGGCATCGCTGGAGTGCTCAGGTTGGGAATGCCACTATTCCCACCCCCAGCATCACCTTGAGCTGAGGGTTATACCCTGGAATTACGCGGTGTGGATGTTATTCCATCCAGAAACCCTCTTCCATGTTTCCAGCAGGATTTCCCCCTCTGCTCCTGTTTTCCCACCCGTCTGAGGAGGAATTCCACTTACTGATCTTGGCATCACATTCACCTAAAAGAGCCAAGAAAGGATCAATCACTGCAGAGACACCAACAGCTCTTCCCAGCCCCATTCCCGGGGGTTGGAACATCCTAAAAGGAGCTTTGGAAAGGGAGGAATCCCCCTTTAAGCCACTTATTCTCCCCCAAATCCCACAGAACACTCCCTTTTCCCAGGTTTTCCCATCTCCAGCACTTTGGAAGGAGAACTTGAGGAACATGCATCCTTCTTACCCAGCTCTGCTGTGAGTTTGCCTGGAATCAGAGGAAATAAAGGAATATTAGCCTTAAAAAACCACCTTGGTTTCCCTACAGATGTGCCAATGGCTTTCCCAAGGGAAAAGTTGCATTATGACTGCCTCATGCTGATGGGAATGAGCCCGAGGAGGCTTTGGGATATGGGGAAAGAACCATCCCTGTATTGATGGAAACAGGGATGAGCTATGGGAAGCTGAGGCTGATCGGAGCAGCCCAAACCCCACTTCTGCAATGGGACAATCCCAAACCCTCCCATATATCCCCCAGATCCTTTCGGAATCAGGTCCAGAGCACACGGGGTGATCCAGGCTTTGATTCCCACCAGGAATGAGAAGTGGAACTTACTGATTCTCCTGTCCCGTTCCTCTGAAAGGGAAAACACCCCAGGTCAGGGAATGCTCCATCACCCCCTCCCCCATCATCCTCCATCCCAAATCCTGGAATAATGTGGAATTCCACCGTTCTGGAGAGCAGGTTGAGGTTATTTGTAGCCCAGATGGGAGGAAGGAGCATTTGAGGAGGGAATAACCACCCCTTCCCTAAACATCCCAATGGAGCAAAGGCAAGAGGAGGGGAAGCACTCACCCAGCTCGGAGGTCAGGCTGTCTGGTTGGAAATACATGCAAAAGCAAGGAATGGTCAACAAGAGGAGAGGAAAGCCAGGATGCTCCTGCCCTATCCAGGGCTTTGGCTCGGGAATTCCCTTTGTTCTCACTATTTGGTTTGGGATGAAGGGACCTCAAAGCTCATCCAGCTCCGACCCAATGCCATGGGGACACCTTCCTCTGGAACAGGTTGCTCCAAGCTGGTCTTGAAGGGATGGAGCATCCAAACCTTCCCCATTGAACCCATCCCAGTGTCCCACCACCCTCTTCCCAATATCCACCCAACTCTTCCTTCTTCCAGGTTAAAACCAATCCCTTTGTCCTGCCCCTCCATCCCTTATCCAAAGCCCCTCTTCCGGGTTTCCTGTAGCCCTTTTAGGCACTGGAGCTGCTCTAAGGTCTCCTGGAGCCTTTGCTGCTTTTGAGGGATAACACGGAGAAACCAGGAATAAACCCCTGGCAAACCATCTGATCCCAACCCACAGGAACCTATCCAATGGGATCTGCACCAGGACTCACCAATTTCTGCTGTGAGCTCACCTGGAAGCAGGGAGATAAAGCAGGATGAAATGTTAAGGGATGATGGGAGTCTGACCCATTGGAATGCCTGGGTAAGGTGATGGGCAGAGCCCGTGTGGGTTGGGGTGTGGATGGGTCCCAGTGCTCCCATGGGATCCATCCAACAAGGAATTCCCTATGATAGGTGTCCATATGGCAAGGATAAGGATGATACGTACCAATCTCTGAGTGTGTCCCTACAATGAACCACAAGAGAAGAGAAATCTCCAGGTTATTTCCCACATTCCATGGCTGTTTTCCTCCTCCTCCAAGACACAGTCTCTGCTCCACCTGGCTTTATCCCTAATTATCCCCTAGGATTAGCTGCCCTAGGGAGGATTTACCACTAGTTCTATGCTTTGAGACCTTCCTGCCTGTTCCAGGAGGAGCGTGGTGCCAAGGGCTCCAGATTCCCAAATCCAGGAAAATGGAGTCAGTAAAGGGAAAGATAAAGGTAAAAGAGGCGCTGTAGGAAGCAGCAGCAGTGGGAAGAGCCCGGAAAGAGGAGGAAACTCACCATTTTCCGTGTCACATTCCTCTAGGAGAGAGAAACAAAGCCAGGTCAGCCCCAAGCTCCCCAAAGGGAGCTCCAGGAATGCTCGGGGATGCTGCGGGATCGCCTCTGCTCCAGGAGCATTCCCATCGGCCCAGCCCCACTCACCCAGCTCCGTGTCGCTCTCCTCTGGGGGGGACAAAGAGGAACAGGACCGGTTGGTGATGGTCAGTGGGGATGGAGCAGCACCAGGAGGGAAGCACTCACCAGGGTCCTCCTTCAGGCGCCCTGTGAGCAAAGGGGACGTGAGGGCAAGGCTCCAGCAACCGGAGCGCATCCTCAGGGATAAAGGGGCAGGAAAAGGCACTCACTGATCTTGGCATCCCATCCGTCTGGAAGAGAGGCACAGGACTGAGCTCTGGTGGCAGCGGATGGGACAAAGCAGCCCCATGCCAGCCACGAGCATCACTTCGGGTGAGACTAAAGGGTCTTAACGTCCTTTCCAACCCCTTAAATGCTGGATGGTCCCGTCCAACCCCTTCCATCTTGGAGGGTCCCTACCAACCCCTTCCATGCTGGATGGTCCCTTCCAACCCCTTCCATACTGGACGGTCCCTTCCAACTCATTCCACCTTGGAGGGTCCCTTCCAACCCAAACTGCTCCAGGATTCCTGAGCCTGGGAAGAGGGAAAACCACTCACCAAGGTCAGCGTTCCTTTTCCCTTGAAAAGAAGAAAGGGAGAGAAGGGAACGGGTTTGGGGCTGGCTCCGAGGCTCATCCCGCTGGAATTAGCACTAAGAGGAGCAGCTTAAGGAGCAAAATGAGGCGGGAGCACCCTTGGGAATGGCAAAGCGGGATTTGGGGAGCTAAAGGAACCACAAGCTCTTAAGGAATAGGTTCTTGCCTACCTGAGTCCATCATCCGGTTCACTTCCCAACTGGAACCACCTCCAACCGCTCTGCCGGCCTGTGGGGATGAAGGGAGCATCATTAGAGCATCCCTTGGGAGCACCAGTGGGTGCCGGGATGGTGGAGGGAGAGCTCCATGGAGCTGCTCTTAGACTTTGGTATTAGAATCCAAGGATGGGATTGCCATGGGAATGGTGCAGATCCCACCCTTTGCTTCTCCTCATCCGTTCACCAGAGAGGCCCAATTCCATAATGGAATTCTTCTCCCTAAACCACCCAAAGCAGGCAGAGGAATCATCGTCATTCAATTTAGTGCTTGTCATCCTAAACCTCCCCGGAGCCAGCACCCAATCCTATCAGATTCCTCTATAGGATTCCCTCTTTCTATAGGATCCCTCCTCTCACTCCTTCTGCTTCCCAGTGCCACCAGCACCAAAGGTCCCTCTTGTCCCAGGCTGCTCCAGCACCCTATCACGTTTCTCCCAGGAAGAGCCGCATGGAACAGGATATCCCAATCCCGTGCTCCCTCCGGAGCTCGTGGAAGGGAACAGGACTCACCAGGACCTGAGGGCCCTCAATGCCAGTGTGGGGCTGTCCGGGGCCGGCTCCGTGGTGGAGGCTGTGGGAAGCGGGACTGGGAGACGCCGTGTGTCTGGAATCGTGTCCCGGGCAGGACAACTGAGCCGGGCCGGATCCCATCTAATTATAGCTGCTTTAAATGCCGAGGGCGGGGGGGGGATCCCGATATGGATATCACGGGAATGGGCTCCTCTGGGGAGGGGACAGAGCAGAGGTGCATCTCCCATGGGTGCTTTAGAGGATGCAGGAGCTGCTCTGGAGCCAGGACTGTGGGGATCCAAAGGAGCTCCTGCTTGTGCAGGAATCTGCCCTATCCAAAGGGAAATCTGCCCTATCCAAAGGCGGGAGACATCGATTCCTGGTTTCCATCACCCGAAAATAGCATTTTGAGGACATTTCTCACCAGTTTGGGGTCATTTCTCACCAGTTTGGGGTCATTTCTCACCAGTTTGGGGTCATTTCTCATCATTTTTTGGATCATTTCTCATCACTTTGGGGTCCTTTTTCATCACTTTGGACCATTGTCACCACTTAGGATCATTTTTCATCACTTTGGGGTCATTTCTCCTCACTTTGGGGTCATTTCTCATCAGTTTTTGGCTTATTTTGGTGTTATTCTCCCTATTTATAGTAGGAGGTTGGAACTAGATGATCTCTAAGGTCCCCCCCAAGCCCTCTCTGTGCCATACCCCCCCCAGACCCTCTCTGTATCCCCCCATCCCCGTCCCTCCTTCCTCCTCTTCTTTCCGGACAACATGGCGGCGCGCATAGAGGCGGTGCAGTGTGATGGCGCCGCCATGTTGCCGTACGATTCCACCGCCTACTTCCGCTTCCGCCGGAAGCCTCCCCTTTCTCTCTCTCCCTCTGTTCCCGGCGGCAGGCGGGCGCGTCAGGCCGCGGCTCCGGTGGGATCCGCCGCCATCCGCCGCCATCCGCCGGTGCAGCCGCCGCAGCCGCCGCCATGACGGAGCAGATGACGCTGCGGGGCACCCTGAAGGGCCACAACGGCTGGGTGACGCAGATCGCCACCACGCCGCAGTTCCCCGACATGATCCTGTCCGCGTCCCGCGGTGAGGGCAGGGCCGGGCCGCGCCGGGGCAGGGACCCAACGGGGGGGGGGGGGGGTGTGTGTGTGTACACGGACGAGACCATCGATGGCGGGGGGGAGAACCGGTTGGAGGGGACGAGACCATCGGAATGGTGGGGGGGGTGTCAGCGCACCATTGGTCTGGTTGTCCCCCCCCCAAGCGTCTCCTGTGCCCCACATCCCGTTGGAGACCCCCCATAGAGGCAGGACCTGGTGATGGGGACAGAGCAGCAGCGACCTCACCCCCTTCCTTCCCTTGGGCACCCCATTGGGGTCACCCCCCCATTGCTTTGGGGCTAATCCCACTCCCCCCCCCCCGCGTTGTTCCCGTTATCCCAGACAAAACCATCATCATGTGGAAGCTGACGCGGGACGAGACCAACTACGGGATCCCGCAGCGCGCCCTGCGTGGGCACTCGCACTTCGTCAGCGACGTGGTCATCTCCTCCGATGGGCAGTTCGCCCTCTCGGGCTCCTGGGACGGGACCTTGCGCCTCTGGGACCTCACCACGTGAGCCCCCCATCGCGTTTGGGTGCTGGGGTTGGGGGGTGAAGCTCAAGCAAGGCACTGGTTGCATCCAAAGGAGGGGATCCTGCTCCTCTGCTGGGGTGCACTTGGGTCCTGGATCCAGTGTGCTCAGCAGCTGGAGCAGGGTGAGCAGCATCTCCAGATGGAGACGGGTTGAGGACATTGGGGCTGGAGGAGACCTCGGAGCAGCTACAAGGATGGGGAGAGGGACCTGCAGCAGGGATAGGACAAGGGGTGATGGAACTGGAACAGGGAGGTTCAGGTTGGAGATAAGGAAGCTCTTCCCTGTGAGGGCGGTGGGACACTGGAATGGGTTGAATGGAGAAATTGGGAATGCTCCATCCCTGGCAGTGTTCAAGGCCAGGCTGGATGGACTGGTGGATGAGATGGTCTAGTGTGAGGTGTCCCTGCCCATGGCAGGGGTGGGAACTTGATGATCTTGAAGCCCTTTCCAACCCAAACCATTCCATGATCCCATGAATCCCAGCGGTTGTGGCTCTTCTCAGCTCCTCTCCTGATGATTACACCTGACTCATCTCTGATCCTTTGGGATCTGAGGACACGTCCTGCAATTATGATGGGAGAGAGGCTTTGTGGGGGCTCGAGCCCCTTTTGGCTCCATTGCGGGTGCATGAGGAGAGGGTGGGGATCACCAGCACCAGCATTCCACATGGGCTGAACTCATCCCGATGCTTCCCATCCTTCCCTGCCATAGACCACTCCAGGGGGTGTTTTTCCTCCCAAACACTTCCATTCCCCCCCCTTTTTGGTGGGATTTATCCATGATTTTCCCGCTGTTCCCTGTTCTGCAGTGGCACCACCACCCGTCGCTTCGTGGGTCACACTAAGGATGTCCTGAGTGTTGCCTTCTCCTCTGACAACCGCCAGATTGTGTCGGGCTCCAGGGATAAGACCATCAAACTCTGGAATACGCTGGGGGTCTGCAAGTACACGGTGCAGGTGAGCTCCCATGTTCCATAGGGAAAGGCTTTAGGCCCCTTCCCATGGCTACGGTTGGGGATTGGGAGGGCTCTGAGGGATGAAGGAAGAGCCATGGAGCACCAGGTCTGATCCTGCAGCACCCCTGCATGGCGTGGGGGGGACTCACCTGCGTGTCCTCCCCATGATCCCAATCCCATTGCTGTTTCCCAGGATGAGAGCCACTCGGAATGGGTGTCCTGCGTTCGCTTCTCCCCCAACAGCAGCAACCCCATCATCGTGTCCTGCGGCTGGGACAAGCTGGTCAAGGTCAGTTGAGGCCTAGCAAGCCCAGGCTGGAATCTTTCCACATTCCCATAATTTGGGGGTGCAGGAGCAGCGTTTATCCCCATTTCCCCTCGTCCAGGTCTGGAATTTGGCCAACTGCAAGTTGAAGACCAACCATATCGGGCACACAGGATACCTGAACACGGTGACAGTGTCCCCTGATGGCTCCCTCTGTGCCTCGGGGGGAAAGGTACATGCAGAGCTCCGTACCCCAGGATCCCCCCCCTCCCCAGCGCTGGCTCCTCCCAGTGCTTCCCAGTTCTTCCCTGTATCCCACAGGATGGGCAGGCCATGCTGTGGGACCTCAATGAGGGTAAACACCTCTACACGCTGGATGGAGGGGACATCATCAACGCCCTCTGCTTCAGCCCCAACCGCTACTGGCTCTGCGCAGCCACCGGGCCCAGCATCAAGATCTGGGTATGTCCCTGTCCCCATCCCGATGGAATTCCTTTGGGAATTCTGCCAGGCCGAGCTGGGATGAAACACTTGATGCCATCCGAGTGCATCCATGGGGAAACCCAGAGGCTGTTTCTGAGCGCCCCTCATGCTCTACCAGGAGCTGGATGGGGAGCTCCCGGCGAGGCTCCTTCATTCCTTCCCCTTCTTCCCGCAGGATCTGGAAGGGAAAATCATCGTGGATGAGCTGAAGCAGGAGGTGATCAGCACCAGCAGTAAAGCAGAGCCACCCCAGTGCACGTCCCTGGCCTGGTCTGCTGATGGGCAGGTAAATCCATCCCCTTGTCCCTGTCCCTGCATCCCAGCCCCGGGAATGGGGACTGGGGGGGATCCTCCAAGCATGGGGACAGTTGTGCTGCTCTCCTGTGGGATTTGGGTCCTCCCTTCCCGTCTGATCCACCTCTTCCCGCTTTCCCCTCTCTCCACAGACTCTCTTTGCGGGATACACGGATAACCTGGTCCGGGTGTGGCAGGTGACCATCGGGACACGCTGAGGCCCCCCTTGGGCAATCCCAATAAACCAGCACTCGTCACTGCTTCGTGTCCAGTCCTGGCTCCTTGCTTGCATCAGAGCCCAGTCCCCGTATTCCCAGCTCCAGGTTCCCAAAAGCATTGTCCCCAGCCTCAAAGCCACCGGGGATTCAGTCCCACAGCACGGAAATGATGCGATGGAGGGGGGACATTCCGTGTCCTTCCAGCTAATGGGGGGGCTCTCGTTCCTTCCCAGACTCTGGAAAAACCAGGCAACACACACACAATTCCCAAGAAACCCCAGAATTTAGCTCGTTCCAGAGGCATTGGTGGGCTCCTCATCCCCACCAGGGGTTTTCCTTAATAAAGGGAAGGATTTAAGGTGGAATTTAGGCACTGGGTCCATGCCCATATAGCCATTCCCTATGGATCTGGGATTCAATTGCTCATTCCCAGACAGCTGAAGGGATTCAGGTGCCACATCCAGCGGGTGGCAGTGAGGCAGCACTTTTGGGCTTGACCAAATCCAGTTGGAATTAATGAGGGATCCAGTGATGGATCCATGGAAGACCTCAGCGCCAGGGCACAATTAAAGCTGGATTTGTTGGGAATTGGATCCTGGAAGCTTCCATTGGGATCTCACTGAGGCCAAGGCACAGATTTACAACCTTAATCTTTATTATTTAACATCTCATAAAACTAAATCTCCATTTAATTCCCATTTTAGCCAAAAATAGTTGGGAGTAGCTCTGGAATGCCAACAGGAACAAAACCCCACCAACAAAAAGAGGGATAATACACAACCAGAGTCTCTGAGCTGGAATCTTGGGAGCAGCTGAGACAATTGAGAGAGGAAAAGGGAGCAAAAATAAATACAGGAGCAGGAAAGTGGGATAAGTGCTGGGGAATGGGATGGTGGCCCCAAAAACAGGGAATACCGCAGGGACACCAGCCCGGGTCTGAGGGAGGTTGGAAGTGAACCCCAAAGGAATCCAGCCACCTCAGTGCAACCAGCGATAGGAGGTTGGTTCAGAATGAAGCCAAGAGCTTCATGACACGGAATCCCACCGGGATGTGATCCATTGGGAATGGGAGAGAAGAGCTCCTGGCAGCAGGAAAGACTGCCTCTGAGGTGGATCCTTCCCTAATTCCAACCCAAACCTGGCTTTGGATCCCGGGAGAAGCCGGTGGGGGAAGCAAATGGGTGCAAGACAAGTGCAATGCCAGATCCCAAACGGGGATCTGAGGGGCAGGAAAAGCAGCGCTGGATCCCAAACGGGGATCCGGGGGGCAGGAAAAGCAGCGCTGGATCCCAAACGGGGATCCGGGGGGCAGGAAAAGCAGCGCTGGATCCCAAACGGGGATCCAAGGGGCAGGAAAAGCAGCGCCAGATCCCAAACGGGGATCCAAGGGGCAGGAAAAGCAGCGCCGGATCCCAAACGGGGATCCA